CTGCCTGAGAGCGTCATTTGGGCGGTCAACGCGGGCGGCGAGGCGCATGTGGACGTGCACGGGATCCACTTCCGCAAGGACCCTTTGGAAGGCCGGGTGGGCCGAGGTGAGACCCTCTTCGCCGAGCCGCGGGACCGGGGGCCGAGTTGCGGGATGCAGCCCGCGGATAGATGCAGGCCCTGAGCCCCGTCCTCGACTCTGTGGCCACTTCTCGAACGAAGTTTCTGCCCTGTTTCCTAAGGCACATGATCTGAGCCTAGGGCCTAGCACCATCTCGAAGCCACCTACCAACTGCGATCGAGGCAGAGAGTGGACGCGAAGTTATATTTGGACCTTACATCTTGCATTTTCTCAATCCCTTACCCCAGACCAAGCTGAGACAGTAAAGACAAGGGTGACTTCCTGCCCCCTCATTTTCCAGGCCTCGAGGAGACAGTTACAGGTAGATGCTTGCAGACGCAGAAATCATTGATCACTTTTCTTGCCCCTTTTGTAGGAGTGGGTCTTGTTTCTTAGCCAGAATAGCCAGGAATCATCGAAGAGGTTGGGCCAGGAAAGTTTGCTGGTAGCCTCCTCCTTCTCCCACCCTCCATTGGGGTGAGGAATATGTGCGTCTAAAAGTAGAAGCCACCCAGGGGGTGGTGGTATATTGCAGCCATCCTGCCTGTGAGTCTGGTGCCATTGTGTCAACTGGGTCATGCGGTGTAAGATCTGAATATCACAGAGTGCTACCGCCTGCTCCAGGTGGTCCCAGGGGCATGATTCCAGTTTAGGGGGAAAGTGGTTGTCACTTCGCTGGTTGAGCAACTGTGGTTTTTACAGAGCTTCACAGTTCCTAAAGATAGTTTGTGTAGGAATTGTTAAAAGCATAGATCCATTCCAGACCTAATAAAGGGATTTTCTTTTCTTTTTTCTTTGCTGCAACCTGGGTTTCTGAAGCAGGGGTTTCTGATGTAGGCCACCCTCCACCCTCAGACCTCTCTTGGGAGAAATCTGTTCTGGAGTCTTTGTTTCTGCTGTAAATGGGATTGGAAAACAGGTTTAAGAAGGAAGTTCCTAGCTTCATGCGTTGGAAGGAGATTTATGCTGTGTTCTGGGTTCAGAGGCTGCCAGATTGGCAGTATGCCACTCCAGACGACTAAGAGACAGACTTTCTCTCTTTTCCACATTGTCCAGATTTGGCATTTGGCTTTTACTAAAGAGTTTAACTTTGTGTTCTGGAAGTTTGTTATATTAGGAGTTTTTTGCTTTCCTACATGTGAAGGTCTTGGAACACAGGGCTGTTTTCTGAAGTTCTGTGTTTGTCTTGGAATTTATTTGGCCCTGGCATGTAAGCCTTAGTAGCCTGGGTTCAGCTGAGTCAGGGCTCCAGGCTTGCAGCAGGCAAAGCCACACTTCATAGGTCTTTACTATCTGTATCCTAGACCTCCTCTTTCTTCACAAGTGTGGTCAGGGAGGAAGGAGCCGTTTGAGGAAACTAGAGACAGTTTGTGAACTTTGCCTTTTGAAATAACAGAGGTAACAGTGGCAAGGGTAGTAGTGCAGACCTTGTCTTCAGACTTTTCGCTGGTTACTTTGTTCTGTTAGTTCCCCTGTGCAGAGGATAAAACAGATCACACATGAATAGTTCTCAGGTACCTTAGTCAGAAATTGATTTAATTTGCTGGAACATGTGTGGATTTGTTTGTTTGTTTGTTTGTTTTGACCTGGTCAGCAGTCAGCCAGGCTCTCCATCCTCACCTTGGCAGTTCCTTGGGAGGAGTTTAGTGTAACAGGTAAAATTACACGAGATCTACCAGAGCTCATGCATGTTGAGTCCTATCTTGGACACTGGTCTTTGGGGCATTGTATGATGGGAGGCCTGGAGCTCTGCTCTGTCTGCCATTCCGGATATGAGTTAGGCACCATTAAGGCATGGATCAGGAGCAAAGGGGTGAGGGTTGCCACATACAGCTTGGACCAGCTTGTTGCAATCTTGTACTTAACCAGGTTCCTGAGAGTAGCATTTTGCTGGCAGTAGGTCTGGGGCCGAGGTGTGCTTAAGCTTCTACTCAGGAATCAGCTTTCTAGTTTCTTCCGTGCACGGGAGACAGGTCCACCAAAGGAAGGGCAGCTGCTTGCTCTGCCTTTCCTCCTCTGCCCTGCTTAGATAAGGGTGTGCCAGGTATCTGGAGACCCTGGCCTCATGCAGCTATTTACACTAATTGCTGTAGAAGCTGTGTGTTTTACTTCTTTTCCCATGTACTTGTGATATTGTTTCCAGCCTTCCAAAGCACGTTTATTATATGAATAATAAATTCGGGTATTGGTTGCCAAGTTAGTCCAGATAAGAATTTGGCCTGCTTTTGAACTTGCTGTTTTTCTATGGTTTCTTTGTAGTTCCGCATTCTTGTAGGCCAGTGCACCTGGTTGCTTATGCTTTCAAAGGTACTTTCATGTTTACTGGAATTTTATTTCTGCCTTGAGGATAGCTAGTGTTGACAGCCTGGGAAAGGCATTTTTTTCAATCTGCTTCATCAGGTGAAAATAGCACTCTAGAAAGTGGTTCAGAGCAAGTCATGGTATCACATACCTGTAATTCTGACACTCTGGGAGACTGAGGCAGGTGGGTCTATAGTTCCCAGCCTGGTAATATAGTGATTTAGCAAGACCCTGTCTAAAAATAAAAAATAAGGCCCAGACATAGAGTTCAATGTGGAGGCCCTGATTTCTATCCCTAATATTGCCAAAAAGTTAAAAGAAAAGGAAAAAATGGTCAGCCACACTCACCTTGAGGTTTTGGCAGGTAGTGTATTCCAGGTTGTATTTAACTTGTTTATTGTGGGTTTTTTACTGAGTAGGAAAACACCTCACTGTTTGGCCTGAGGGCACACAGATTTGGCTTGACTTTTACGGAAAGGCTCTTTTCCTCTTTGTAGAAAGATACCTGCTAGGGCTGGGGATTTAGCTCAGTGGTTCCGCTGCCTACCTCTCAAGCACAAGGACTGGAGTTTGATCACCGATACCAAAAAAAAAAGAAGAAGATACTTGCTAAAGTTGTATAACCTTGAGGAACTTATTTTATTTCCCTGAGCCTTGTTTTTCTTCTCAATAATACTTTTCATGCTTTAGAAATTTCTGACATTAAAAATATTTTTTTTTTCTGACGTGACTGAAATTTTTTCTGTCGAGAGTAGGCTGAGTCACTACCCCCCCCATTACCTTTTACATGGAATTAAAAATAGGGCAGAACATGACTCCATGGGGCGGAAATGCTGGCTGGGGACCTGAGCCTATCGCATTACTAATTCTGTAGTCTGAAGGAAGACCCTTTCTGGGCAGCTTTCCGTCTGGCTGGGGAAGAATTTGGCGTGAGCGATCACAGCTTGAAAGATAGGGTGAGGGGTAGAGTCACTGCTGCCTCTGATTTGCTTATGGCCATGGGATTTTCTGAGAATGCTTTCCTTGTACTGTCCCTCGCAGGCATCCTTCATTTACAGCCCCTCACCACGTACTGGAAATCCATAGGTAGAGAATTTAGGTCATCGAATCCCTGTTTTCCTTGTCTTAGTCCATTCCAGTGATCAGGAGGCCTAGTGTGAGGATGCTGAGAGGTGCTGGTGCTCCATGAAGTACTTTATGGCCACGGTCTCACATAGAACAGGTTCTGGCTCATTCTGGGCTTCCCAGCTACAGGTTTTCCAGTTAGTTTTATTATTTCCTTTTTTTTTTGGTACCAGGGGTTGGACTCAGGACTTTGTGCTTGTGCTAAATCCCCTGCCATCCCTTTTTCTTTTAGTTCATTCTCTTAACTCCTCAGAATAGAGGCACTTATGTAGTGCTGTGTGTGTGTGTGTGTGTGTGTGTGTGTGTGTGCAAGAGGGAAAGGGGTTTATTTGGCATACAGTTTGTAGAGGTTTCAGTCCATAATGAACTGGCTCCAAGGCAGGTATGGCAAACAGGCATTGCAGAGGTGAAACAACGGGGTGCACACAAGGCAGCAAAGGCAACAAGAAAAGTTAACGGTGTCTCCCTGCCCCCTTTATTCAAACCACTTAGGGCGGGCAGCACTCACCCTTAATCCCAGTGCCCTTGAGCCTAGCCTTGCACCATGAATCCATTCCAGCTTCACACACTCTAGATCAAGCCTATGGCCACTTGAGGTTGGGGGGACATCTAGACCCTAACCGTAACACTCTGCCCTGGCCTCACAAAGACTCATGTGCCTTCCTTTACACAAAAACCATTTAGTCCATCTCTACGAGTTGCCAAAGTCCTAGCAGTTTCAGCATTGCTGAGAAGTCCAAGTCTCCTGAGATTGAAGGCAAACTCTTTTCTGCAAGCCCCCCTACTAATGAAAAGAGAGTCAACTTCCAACGTTCAATGGCGGGACATAGACATTACCATTCCAAGATGTACAAAGGAACAGAGCCAGAGTAAGTCCAAAATCCAGCAGAGGAAACACTAAATCCACAGCTCCATTTCCAGAATCTGAGGCCATCTGTGGCAGGTTGTGAACTCCGAAGGGCTTGGGTGGTATTGCCCGCGTGGCCCTTCTCCCACGGCTTCTCAGGCGGGCTCTGCTCCCTCGCAGCTTTCCCCAGACAGTCCATGCTCCTGGTTTCTCCAAACTTCTGGGGTCTCCATTGCACCTTCAGCTTCACACTCTCGGCGTCACACACGGCCCTCTCAGGGGCTCCCTGCCTGGCCTCCCAGGCCTTCCTCTGAAATGTGGGTGGTAGCCTTCCCGACCCCACAACTCTATCATTCTGCGTGCGCCTAAAACCAGCGCCATGTGGATGATGCCAAGGTCTGCTGCCAGTGGAGCAGCAGTAGCCAGGCTTCCCTCTGTTGGCGGTAGGGGTTGAGTGCCTGGATTGCTGAGTACTCGTGTGTACGCTCTGACTTAGCGGCATACCTGGTTGTCTCCCTGTTTCTCTTCCGTGTGAGGCCCACTGTATTCAGCTCTTCATAGATGTTTTTATCATCACAGCTCTATGGGTTAGGTGATAGCTGCCTTTTTTTTTTTTTTCCTGAGACATTTAAGTCTCACTATGTAATTTAGGTTGGCCTTGAATTCACTATGTAGTTCTGGCTGGCGTTGAACTCACAGAGCTCCTCCTGCCTCAGCTTCCTGAATTCTGGGACTTAACAGGCATGTGCTACCATGCTCAGCTGATATCTGAATTTTATAAGTGAGAAAATAGAACTAGGAAAAAAACTTGTTGAACATCACTTACTAGGTGACAGAGCCGGGATTCAAATCCAAGCCTGTCTTATTCTAAATCCTGGGCTGAAAAAAAAAAAAAAATGCCAGGTGTGGTGGCGCACACCTGTAATCCCAGCACTCAGGAGGCTGAGGCAGGAGGATCGCAGTTAGTTTAAGACCAGCCTGGGCTACACGGAGAGTTCTAGGACAGTCTCAACTTTTGAGACCCTGTCTCAAAAAACCAAAACCAACCAACCAAACAAAAAAATAAATAAAACCTGGGCTGAAATTTCCAAGGAGGCTGGCTACTTTATTGTTGAAAACTAAGAAGCAGCATATCATAGGCCCTCTGGCATTTTTCCTTTTTGGTTAACTAAGCTATAGTGCCGACTTCAGTGTGCTGACTGTATACGTCATTGTATTTTAGAGAAATCCGTTTAGTTGTGAAAGGCCGAGGAGGAAAGAATCCCTTTGTTGGTACCATCTCTTGGGACTTTGGCGAATGCAGGTTGGCTTGTGGCAGTTCCTTTAGAGTGGCCACTTGGGCTTTAAAGGGAAGATACTTAAAAGTAATTCTAAGGTTGTTAGGTAACTTCTGTTCACATGGCTGAATGTTCGCAGCCATGGGACTGAGACTGCCACAGGTTATATTACTGTCAGTTTCTTACTTTTTCCATTTGGCAAGAAATAAAGACCTCCCACACATGCACACAAAATTTTCTGTGTATCAGTAAATCAAATCTAGTTAATGTTCCAAATCTGTAAGGATCACAGTCCTTATGGCAGAAGGAAATTCTTAGAGCTCATTTGGAAGAGAAACAGAAGTCTTTTAGTCTTCAAAGGTGAGTGTCCCAGGGAAATGGGTTTTTGAGTCTGGGAAAAAGCTGGGAGGTGTTGGCAGTGCATCCTTTGTAATGCTACCCTTCTTTGATTTCTTGAGGAGAAATAGGAAGAAAAAGTCAGACGAAAGTGCATTGAGTTTCCTGTCCCATTGTCTCATCAGCCCATCTGATCTCATGAGTAGTGTCGCTTACAGGAATTGTTAACAGTTATGTTTATTGTGGGGGTGGGTGTTCACCTCAGCCACTGGGTCTCTTAGTTAATCTTTTACCTTTTACCACAGCCTCTCTGGAAATTTTGGTGGTTCAGAAAAAGCTCTGAGAATGCTGCTCAGGATCTCAGTGTCAAATGCCTTCAAGGTCACCTTGTGAGATTGAAAGGCAATCTTTTTTTTTCCCCTTGGGACAAGGCTATGTAGATCATGTTGGCCTTGAACTCATGGCGATTCTCCTGCCTCAGCCTCCCTAGCGTACTGGGTTTACAAGTATGTACCACCACATCTAGATAGGTAACTTTTTTTCTCTTACCAAGCCTTATTTCTCATCAGTTTGTGAAATAGGAAAGGTGCCTGCCCAGGACTTGGATGTCTTTTTTTTTTTTTTTGGTTTTTTGAGACAGGGTCTCACTATGTAGTTCTGACTGATCTGGAACTCACTGTGTAGCCCAGGCTGGTTTCGAACTCACAGTGATCCTCCTGCCTCGCCTCTCGCGTGCTGGGATTACAGGCGTGAGCCACCATGTCTGGCCTAGGACTTGGATATCTTAAGCCAGAGAAGTGTGTTCTCTTTCCTTCAGGTGCTGTAGCCTCTGTGCTGACAGTGGCGTGGCGTCTCTGTGTTGCAGGCCCGTTCTTCGTCGCCGCCATTGCCATTTGCTCATTCAGCGGACATGGCCAGTGCCCACTACCTGCCAGGCACTGCTGGCTACAGCAGCTACAGTAGAGTGTTCTTTGCTGTTGGTTTAACTGAGGAAATGTTCAAGAGAGTTGGTGGAGCTTTTTTGAGTCTGCGAGAAGCAGCTTGGTTGGACCTAAAGGAAATTAGAACACATCCACCTTCTTTTTATGAACTGTTTCTCTTTGCCAGCCTTGGATCTTTTTGAATGGAAAATTGTGGAAAACCAAAAGCTGGAATCTTAGCCAAAAGGCTGAGAAGTGATTGGAATCTTATTTATAAGAAAAACAATACAGACATTCCCAACCAGATAATCCTGTTTAGACTCTGCTTTTTCTGATGGACTGAGTCACCTTGCTTGAGTTCCTGACTGTCGCCTGGTTACAGGAGATTGCTCTGCCTCTCTCCCGCTCGGGAACCAGACTCTTGCCTCGCAGCGGTTTCTTCACGTAATGAGGTGGACTTGTTCTCTTCCTGTCCTTCTCAGACAGCCAGGAGGTATTGCAGTGCGCTTTCATGAAGCTTGCTGTGAAGGTTATAAGGGCTGTTGGGTGATTAGTGCCTGGTTGTTTTTCATGTTACTCCTCCATGGTAATGGTTATCTGATCGGCCCTTGTGTGAGCTCTGCTTGGAGCCAGGTACAGAGGGGCTGGCCTCTTCTGCTAGGAGGGTTATTAGCATTGCCCTGGAAATGTTTCTGGTGGTATTGGGGCCCCTTTTATATCTTGCCTCTGACGTCCTTTCTCTTTGTCTTTCATCCTCAGCCTCCGATTACGGCATGAAACTGCCAATACTGCGTTCCAATCCTGAGGACCAGATCTTGTATCAAACAGAGCGGTACAATGAGGAGACTTTTGGCTACGAAGTGCCCATCAAAGAAGAGGGGGACTATGTGCTGGTGTTGAAATTTGCTGAAGTCTACTTTGCACAGTCCCAGCAAAAGGTAAGGCCTGGTTGGGCCTCGGTTTGACCAGAGGGATGTTGCTGCTGGGACAGTCCTCTGTTACGGGGTCAGAAAGTGTGAGAGCCTCCCCAGAAGGAGAGATGAATTTGAGGATGGTAGATTCCTTCTGCACCCAGAAAAGCCATGTTGCATCGCCCATGGACTTGTGCTTGGGGTTTCCTTGGGGGTTGGCATCAGAAGTGCCAGAATACTAGTTTTGGTTATTAACTGGGCCTCTTATGGCCTTCCTGGTTATTTTTCCCCTCCTTAGTTTTCAGCACCTTCTTGTAGCCTTATCCTTTTCTTCTGCCTTTTTCTGTAAATCTCTTCCTTTCCATGGCTTTGTATTTCTGTACTTTGTATGAAACTTCCTTAGCAGTGAAGCAACATGTTTTTGTTTTTTGGGTTTTTTTCCTCATTGAGTTTATTGGTACATTTTAGGTATACAGTACAGTTAACATTCTTCACTGGGATCTTGTACCAGCAGCATGGTTTTGATTTGGCTCAGGTAATGGACTCTAATCACCCTGGAATATACCCAGACTCGTCATTTCTTAAATTATTTTTGAACTTGAAGCCCAGGCAGTTGCATGATCTCCAATTCCTTGAAGAGGTTGGAGGCTGGTGGTTTTGATGTTTTATTTTCTAACCCTGGAAGGTATTTGATGTACGATTGAACGGCCATGTCGTGGTGAAGGACTTGGATATCTTTGATCGTGTTGGACACAGCACGGCTCACGATGAAATCATCCCTATGAGCATCAGAAAGGGGAAACTGAGTGTCCAGGGGGAGGTATCTACCTTCACAGGGAAACTCTACATTGAGTTTGTCAAGGTAACTCATCACTGAGGAAGGGCTGAGGGAGTGGGTGAGGGGAAGGTGTTGGCTGCCCTGTGGGGTTAACCCCGTTTTGCTGTTTCCTAGGGGTACTATGACAATCCCAAAGTCTGTGCACTCTATATCATGGCTGGGACCGTGGATGGTAAGTTGTGCTTTTGACCTGCTTTTTGACTTGTGCTGAAGGTTCAGGTTAAGGCAAACCTTGGGAAATAAGTAGTTAAGTTAAAGGTCATTATTTTGGAAACGCCTTTAAGCCATATAGTGGGCAGTTCAGAGTCGGATGGGTGAGGACAAAGTATTGCGCGGTACTAGCCACAGGCTTTGAAGGGAGACTGCTCTGTGTTCATATTCTCTGCTACCATTTAATCAGCTGTTTCATTTGGGGGACCCCCCCCAACACCAGGGATCAAACTTAGGACCTTGCGCTTGCCAGGCATGTGCAGCGCCACTGAGCTACATCCCCTGCCCCATCTTGAAAAAAATTTTTAACTTCCCAATAAACCTGAATTAATTATGGTCCCTGTTGGGATGCCTGATTCTGGTAGTCATTTGGAATTGCCTAGAACCTGTCTTCGTTCCATTTCCTTGTTTGTTTGATACCTATTTTCTAGGGGAATGCAGCAAAAGAAAAAATCCCTTAGGGTTCTGGTAGGTTCTGACTCTAGTGTTGCTGGACTACACTGAGATGAAAGATCATCTTTTTTTTTTTTTTTAAAGGTCATTTGTTAATGTCACTTTGAACTTGGGACCCAGCCCAAGGTATCTTTTTTTCTCAAGGTTTAGATTATCCTGGCTGCCAGCTTTCCAGGCTGACTTTTGCAGGGAAAGCTTGTGTCTTAAATGGTCTTTCTCCATCCCACTTCTGCCTTTCCCCAACTCATCTGAACGCACTGAAGATCTCATCTTCTTGTCTTGCTGTCCCCCTAACACTGATAGGATGACATTTAGGAAGATTCTATTTTGCACCAAACGGCTCTGTGCTTGAATCCCCAAGGAAGAGGCAGGACAAGTGCAGTGTGGGTCGAGAGCCCAAAAGCCTGTAGATCGACTCATCTTCCGTTACTGTGTTAATTGGGGCCTATGGGAGGAAGGAGGGGGCATTTGAGAGGTTAAATTTTGGGTACTAGGTCATTGTCCCTGTCTAATCTGGGTATCTAAAGAAAAGTGGGGCAGGAAAGGGAGAGAGAGAGAGTGAGCCTCCTTGTGGGCAGGACTTTTGCTTCTTAGTTAAATCTGAGGGAGACTGGTGTTCATAATACTCTGTAGCTAGAGACTATGTCTGCTATTTCTGTTCCCTCCTGTGGACACTGAGGAGGTCACAGGAGTCTCCCCAGCTCCCTTCCCACTGAGCTATATCCCTAGCTTTTTTAAAAATTTTGAGACAGTCACGACTAAGTTGCCCAGGTTGGGCATGGATCTGTAATCCTCCTGGTTTAGCCTCCCAGAATGCATTGCTAGGCTCATTTGCTGTTCGTAAGGGTCTTACTTAAATGCTGTGGTGAGCCTTGCTTGATAGTTATTTTCTTTCTTGTATTAGATGTACCAAAGCTGCAGCCTCATCCAGGGTTAGAGAAGAAAGAAGAGGAAGAAGAAGAAGAAGAATATGATGAAGGGTCTAATCCCAAAAGACAGACCAATAAGAACCGGGTGCAGTCGGGCCCCCGCACACCCAACCCCTATGCCTCGGACAACAGCAGCCTCATGTTTCCCATCCTGGTGGCCTTTGGAGTCTTCATTCCAACCCTCTTCTGCCTCTGCCGGTTGTGAGAATGAGTGACCATCCTGAGCAGGGTGGAGGGGAGTGGGAAAGAAACCAAATATGTTGGTTTTGGTTTCTGTATTTTTCACAATAACGAACCCCTGCCCCCTGCAAAAAAAAAAAAAAAAAAAAAAAAAAAAAAAAAAAAAAAAAAAAAAAAAAAAAAAAAAAAAACCCACAAACAAAAAACAAAAAGGAAAAAAGTGGA